TAAAGTTTGTTCTTGCATCATCGTGGCCTTACAGAAGAAACCACGGGACAGATAGAGCAACAATAACACTTTTTCATACGTCAGCAGATTAATTTGCTTAAATCATCGCTGTTCTTCAGAGCACAGCTGTAATATAATCCTGGGACTAAAAGTTCTGGTACTTCAGGTGTAAACTCAACTATATTTTTAATCAAAATTTCTAATAAAGCCTAATTTTGTTTTAACAAACGGAGGGAACAACGTGGACCAAATTCTTTCATTACGGTGACGCTCGCTGGTTGTGGACTCAGTGGCAGTTAAAAACGAGCAGCTTTATACATGCAGGCGTCTTGATTGCACGTCTGTTCCACTGGTTTCAAACGGGGAAAGAGAAAAAATAAAAAAAGGCAGAGAGAGAGAGATTTCACAGAGCAAATGAAAAGTGTATAATTATAAATGCTTTGCTTAATCTGACTAGAAAAAATCTTGTTGCTAATTAAAGCTCTTGATAATATTTTACACTGTAACAGTGTCTTATTAATTAAATGTAGTTACATTCAATTAGTGGAATAAAATAAAGAAAAGACCAGTAGTGTAGATCTTACATCTTCCATCTGGTCCTAGTGGGATGCTTGTGGATACATATCCCTCTTCTTCTTCTTTTTTTTTTTTTTTTGCTGTCCATCTGAGATTCACCACTTGATGCTTCAGTCTCACTGCGTTTCCCTTTTGTATGCTTTACAAAATCTGGTAATCTCAGAGCTTTCTTTCCTTGTTAGCCAGCAGACACAAAAAGAAAATGAAAAATGTCCCGTTTCTGTCTGCGTTTCACAGAGTTTATGTTTTACAGATCGACTTTGGTGCGTGATATCTGTGCTGGCTGTGGCCTTTCACATAGACCACTTCTTAGCTCCGTGTCATAAATATTTATAGAAAGACTTTTCAGTTTGCAGCTTCAGCTATGGCACATTACAAGTCGCTGTGCAATACTGACAAAAACAAGTCAAAAACAGTCTCAATTTCTGCATGTATTTACTTCATGACTGTTTGGCGACTATCGGATTATCAGTCATTTATATCCTACTGAACATATTCCACTGGTTGAGCATTTAGCAGCGAATATATCCCAAGACATCAGCCAGGAGGTTAAAGCTTGGGTGCAAATGGGTCTTCCAGATGGACAATGACCCGAAGCATAGCACCAGATTAGTTGTAAAGAGGCTTCAGGACAACAAAGTCAGTGTTTAGGAGTGGCCATCACAAAGCCCAGATCTCAGTCCTGGAGAAAGTTTGTGGGCAAGGAGACCAACAAACCTGACTCAGTTCCACCAGTTCTGTCAGGAGGAATGGGCCAGAATTAATCCAACTATTGTGAGAAGCTTGTGGAAGGAAACCCAGAATGTTTGACCCAAGTCATACAGTTTAAAGGCAACGCTACCAAATACTAAGGAGATGTATGTAAATTTCAGACTTAAAGTAATACAAAATTATCTCTATTATTTTTCTGGCGTTTAGCAAATAGAAATAATTTTCATAATCCTAACTGAGCTAAAACAGGAACAGTTTAGTCTGATTTAATGTCAGATAGCGAGAAAAAAAAAAAAAAGGGTGATGCGTCTTTTTACACCGTGTATGTAAACGTCTGGTTTTACCTGTACGTGTAAATGAATGACTGATATTTTAATTTGATTACAAATGGCATTTTGTTTGGCATGTGTCCACGGCATAATAACCCCTAGACGCTAACGCTCTGATGTTACCTGTTGCTATCATTGTCAGGTATAACCTCTTAAGCTACAGGCACAACTAATAACTCTAACGATGGCTGCTCCATTAGCACCAGTTAGCCGTGACAGTGACGATTGTTGTTAGAATTTGTAAAAGCAGCATTTATGTAACATATTGACATTTAGATTTAAGCTGCATGCTTCTGTAGGAGAAACTAACGAAAGAAGCATCTGATGGCAAAATTATTGATCCTAATCAGTGCAGGTCCTTTAACACTTTTATTAGGAAGCACAACAAACCTTCTACTTTCTGAGACTCCCTGTGTCAGATCTGTTATATCAGTTCTAAGGGTTCTGTTGAGTTGTAACTTTACTTTCTGATCTTATTCACTTTCCCTCCGTGTTGCTGACATTAAAAACTACAGCTTAGCATTGATTTTTAGGCGTTTGAGTGATTATTAACGGAAATGTCAAAGAGGACATCACTAAAGTAGTTTTTTTTCAGTTTTTCCCACTCCTTCAGTCCGTGTATTCCAGCGAAACAAAAATTAAAGGTTATGTGAGAAAACAAGGGATGAATCACGGCGTCCACGAACAAACGGATGAAGATGGAGAGATAGTGTGACGGCGGCTAAAGGGAGAGGCAAGGCAGGCAGACGGGTCCGGGGCTTATCTGGGCCCGGTCTGTGACGTGTTGTTAACAGGTCCTGGTCAAACAGTTCATTCCTCATTATCTTAATGAGATCGCGACCACAGAACAAATAAGAAGAGAAATGCCAGGGTTGGGAGGCGCAGATGAAGTGGCCGGCGCCGCGGAGTGATGGAAAGAGAGGAGGAAATTGATGGAGAGGAAAGTGCAATCAAATGGGAGGAGAGAAACAGAGAGATATGTGATGGACAGAGGGGATAAAATGTGAGTGCTTTTCTTTTCTTGTCTGCATGACTTCACTATGTTCTATATGGTTTTTTTCCCACTATAGAAGAGCCGGACACGGTCATATTAAAGTGTCCCTGTGAATGTGTAGAAGGTGTAGAAGTGTGTTCGTAGGGGTGAGCCATGCCTGCCTGAGACCTTACACCCTGTTAGTTTCCTCCAGTAAAACTGGCCTTGCGTCAAATGCTAAGAAGACTGAGGTGATCTCCATACTGACCAATCAGTGTGCCTCTGGAGACGGTGGACGACTTTAAGTATCAAGGCTCCTGGGTGAACAGCACAAACCAGGATGTCAGAGTGCACAAGGCGATGGCTTGGAAGCGGTATGGGTGTGGTGTGGAGATCGAGCCTTTCGAGAGAGCTCACGATCAGATTCTTTCAGGCGACAGTCGAGTCCATTCTCCTGTACGGTAGCGAATGCTGGTCCCTCAATGCATCACTGGAGAAGTCTCTTGATGGTGCATATACCAGGCTGCTCCTGACATCAGCTGGAGGGACCATGTCTCTAACATCACACTCTATGGTGACCTGTCATGCATCACAGATCATATCGCCTGGAGGAGACTTGGCATTGCTGCCATAGGGAGCTTCCTGCCAGCCAGCTCGTTCTTTGGGACCTGCCACCACCTTCCTGGACACCCTAAAGGGGGATACTGGTGCGACCACCTCAGCATGCATGACTAACAGGATGGACTGGAATCAAAGACGTGAAGCTCGGCTGAGGGCGCCACGATGATTCCTCCAGTAAACTTTTTCTGACTACTGTGGATGAGATGGGTGAGACTAAAAAAGTTCTTCTCATGCATCAGTCCTTTCATACACTGAAAAATTCCACCGTTCTAACATGAGGATCGCGTTGCTGAAAATTAAATTTACTGTTGGTTTGAAGGTTGCAAGGTGGAGCGGTGGTTAGCACCATCGCAGCTAGAAGATCCCTGGTTTGCGTCCCGGTTAGGACGCCTGGGATCTTTCTGCGTGGAGTTTGCATGTTCAGCGTGGGTTTTCTCCGGGTTCTCATTGAGCTGGGATAGACTCCAGCCCCCTGTGTCCCTAGTGAGGGTTAAGTGGTGTATAGATAATGAATGGATGGATGTTTATCTGAAGTAAAATGATTTCTCACGATGTAACGAACAAAGCCATTAACGAACCGTTCGTCTTCTGGAAATTCTAGCCACAGTGTCGGTCTACAATTAAAAGTTGTTTTTTTTTTTGCTAAATTATTTCCATCCAAGCGCCTAAATCCTAGAAAATACAAGAAATTCATTCAGGAAAGCAAAAACGATGCTGCCACTCAACAAATGGATGCTAATGCAACAGATGACTCGCCAGTGAATTTTATTACGAGGATTAGAGTTTCATTTTATGCAAAAAAAAAACGAAAAAAAAAAGTCTGCTTTCAATCTGGAGGCCGCTGGAATAAATTTGGCTATGGATTCTAAAACTGTGCACATGAGAAAACCTTCACCATTTTCAGACTGAAGTCTTTGTTTTACTTGGAATCTCTAAAATGAAAGAAAACCAAATGTGCTTATAAGCTCCTTGTTTTTCTAAACGCCAACCTGAATAGAAAAACGGAACGCAGGTATTTAGTTTTTGTTCTTGTCTGTGCTCTAAATGCGTTTAATCAAACTGCAGTGGAACCTACTCGCTAGTAGGTTTTAATTAACAGGAGACAAAAAAGAAAAAAAAGCCTGGTCTTTATTTGATCGTATCTCTGTGTGGCACATTGCAGCTTTAGATATGATCAAATTAACTTTATAGCCAGAAAATGAGCTCCATTCCTGCTCAGGATTTGTTGGAATGGATCTGAGAGGAGGAAAACGTAACACAATGTGCTTCGTGGCACCGGTTAAAGCTCAAATCATCACTTTGTCGCTACAGATACTAAACAGGGATAACTTTCTCAGGCGCCAACATAAATCTTGGCGACTTGAACAGCGCTACTGGATACACTAATCCTAAGTGTCACGTCTAACCTGAAGCAGTGACTCGCTTCCTCTTGCCAGGTTTGAAGCTTTGACACGTTCGAGTCGTACCCGCGTCAGTTAGACACAGTTTAGTTTCATTCTCTTATGACGGCGAGCCAGGTTTCCCCACAATCCAACAATTTAGCGTAAAACCGTGTCCCAGATTTCTGTTCTGCTTTTTGTGTCTGAGTCACAGGAAGGATTTCTATAGATGTCAACGCAAGAAAGAAGAAACGGATGAGCAGAAATAGCTTCAGAATCTATGTTATATGTTCATATGTAACCTATGTGTACATTTGCATATGAACATAAAAAGCCTGTCATGGGCTGCAAGGTGGTTAGCAGCATCGTAGCTTTGCAGCTAGAAGGTCGTCAGTTCATGTCCCGGTGAGGACACCCGGGATCTTCCCGAGTTTGCATGTTCTCCCCATGCAGCGTGGGTTCTCTCCGGGTTCTCCAGCTTCCTCCCACAGTCCAAAAACATGTTGAGGTTAATTGGTGATTCTAAATTGTCCGTAGGTGTGAATGTGAGTGTGCTTGGTTGTCTGTCTCTAAGTGTAGCCCTGTGATAGACTGGTTACCTGTCCAGGGTGTGAGGATGAAGCGGTGTATAGATAATGGATGGATGGATGGTGAGAGGATGCCAATAAAGAGTTTAGCAGTGTGTCTTCATCTAATAATAATAATAATGATGATGTACTTACAGCTCTGACACTGGTCCTCTTTGGGTCCCCAGCACCGACCATTGCAGGAACGATGGCACTTTTGACCTGCGTGCAAAAGAGGCAACTGGCACTTCAAATGGAAAATACAATCACTCAAAACCACATACTGGCAGAAGCTTGAAATGGGCCAGAGGCACCGAGCTGGAGTCTTTCTCCACTGAAGCCAAAAACAGTGAACAAAAAGTCGAGCTGGTCTTCGGGCTTATCTTTGATTACTCCTAATGTGTCCTTGTGAATTGATGCAACATGATAAAATTAGCTGGAAGTGTTGTTCTTGTTATATGGTGCTTCATTATAAGTGCATTCCAAGCACTCTGCGCTTGATAATTACTGAAATTAAAATCTGACATAATTACGGCAGCCTGTGAGAAATGTCGGCGCTATGACCGGTGTGTGGTTCATCCTGTGATCACGTGATGAAGACGATAATATGACATTAATCTAAATGAGTTCCTGCATACAAAATATAAAAAAGAATTTCACTCCAAATGTAATGCAACAAACATGTTTTCCAGGTTTCTCATTTTAATGCAAGAAAGCTGATGAAACTTTCAGCGTTTCGGTAACAGCTCCGCATCTCCCCTTTCTGGTACACGCTGTTCCAGTCATAAAATCTTAAATAACCTTGGCACAGGTTGTCTTGAGAAAATAAGACAATTCTTTTTTGCCACTCCGCCGTAAATCAGCCCAGCACGAAACCGCTGCGCGCATCCGGTTGAGATAAAAGCAGTGAAGAAGCAGCGAGCGGCATCGTACCCTCAGAGCTTTAGCTGGTGCCTTTCTGGGCTTTTGGAGGACTTAATTGACTGTCTGGTAATTGAATGCAAGGGGGAAGTGAGTCTGGATAAGTGCAGAAGTGCTGTCCTCTGTCCATCAGCCTCTCGAGATGAGAGCTATTAGCATCAGACTGACTCTACTGCCCATGAGCCTCTCCATCTTCTGCGCTCCTCTTTTTCCTCGTTTGTGAGCCTGTCCACTACACATTTCATCACTTTCATCCTCAGTCCACCCCTCACTGATTCATCACCCCTCTGTGGTTCTCTCTCACTTAAAGTCCAACCCCATCTTTTTTTTTTCTCATCTGTCCCCCAGTTTTTCTGTCTGTTTCCCTTCAAACTAACACTTTGACAATGCTTGAGAGAGAGAGGTCGACAGCCCTGACTGTATGGAAAGCAGCACACAAACAGGATAATAATATAAATGTCAGCCGGCCATAAGTAGTTGTCTGGCGGTGCCAACTGTGCAGAACCGCTGCTGCACTTATAGCAGTTATACGACTGTTCTGCTTTGAGCTCGCTGCCCTGTGAAGTCAAGTCAAAGAGTTTTCATTTAGTGTCCAAGGCCCTCACTCCTCTCAACTTCTAAATTCTCAGTGACCCAGAATAAAGCTGTTCCACCCCTTTTCCTGCACCATAATCTTTAACAGCTTTCTTAAAACAGCCCCTGAAGGTTAAAAATGTCAAGACTGCCGTCGTGGCGGTGCTGGTGGACGGCAAAAGGCAGATTTTTTTGACTGAATCAACAACAAGGTGCGGATTTTAAAAATCACGGCCCTGTGTTTGAAAAATAAACCCAATAAACACAACACAACTGTGGCGCAAATAACTCAAAAGTAATAACAACCTAAAGCTTGTGTTGCCCCAAAGAATGAAATAGAGATTAAGTTCTAAATTGTGGATTACAAGTTTGGAGACCCCTGATCTTGTGGAGGGGGTGGAGGACTCGCTCAGGAGCTGGGGTCGATCTGGGGCTAACGGGGCTGCAGGGAGGAGGGCGATGGAGCAGAATACCAATGCTGGGAGCTGTTAATATGCATCGGCAGCCCTCGGCAAGTGCCGTGGGACGATGTTCAAGAACATATGCGGAGACTGTATTTACACATTATTTCATTACGATAATCCATTTCATTGTGTCATCTCGCGTTATTAGACGAGCGAGATGAGACAGCTCGAAGAAAAACTACAAAAAAATATGACAACAAGAGATTTAAATGTCAAACAGCTTGAGGGTTAAATTAAAAACAAATAGGAAAAAAGGAATTTGTTAAGAGGGTTTAGTCGGCGAACGAACAGAAGTGGGTCAGAGGAGGTGACTCGTATTGTTGCTCAGCTGACAAGCACCTCAACCACGAGCTCCGTTCCCCCCCCTGACAGATTAAGTATGCTTATTTCACCCTAACAAATCCCGTCGTAACTCTGAGCGCTCATTAACATGTCTTCCAGCTGTCTACGGTGGGGGCATTAGAGTGAGCAGGCAGTCGGTGTGAGTTGTTGTAGTGAGCAGAGTGACAGAATGAGGTCAAGAGGTGATTTTGTGATGACAACGTTTTGCTGCTCGGTCACTAATCGTACACTGAGCAGGTTAACCTTCCTTCCAACCGTTTGCTTTGGCCGCTGCAAGTGTTGGTAATTTAGAGTCACCTCCTAGTATTTTGTCCACCCTGTTAACATAATAGGTGGTTAAAATGCACCAGTGTGGTCCAGTAAACCACCTTCCACTATTATCTCCATAACAAAGCAGAATCTTTTTAACAACAATTAAAAATTTGGTTCATGAAAGATTCATGGCAGAGCTCTAGCGTAAGGTTTCCCAATTTTACCCCAAAAAATGACAGGTAAGTGTGCAATCTTCATACTCGATTAAGTGCAGTAACCCCAAAAGAGGGTTTTTTTGGAAAAGTTTTTACACTCATTTGTGGGGCCAGAGGGAACTACGTGGAATCTGATTCATTTAAAAAGTGAGGCCACCTCAGGCAGAATTGTTCAGGGCTGAAGACTACAAGTTTAAACAATGTGAGAAATGTCGGGATGTGACGTTAGTAAGAAGTTCGTCTTTTCTCTGCGGGCTGCTCCTGATTGCCGACTGACGTTGGCAACTCGAGGCAGCGAAACAAACCTGTAGCATCCAAATGAATTGTCAGCGTTTGAGCTGCATTGGGGGAAATATACACAGTGACAAAAAAAAGATGAATAAACAGAGCAGGAAAGACGACATCTCTTATTGTTCCGAGTTGATTATAATCAAACAAGCGTGGAGTGGGAAGAACAACCCTGAACGTAAATCTGTTGGCCGTCTACATGTTTGTTGGGTTGCTTACATGTGACGCTGCTGTTGGTGGGCACCACCACAGGATGGACCTTCGGGTTCTTGACGATGTCCTGCCAATGGATGGTGTCTGCGTGGCACAGGAACTTGTTCTGGTCGACGTACACGCCTCCGCTCAGGATCTCTGTGGAGAAGAGAGGAAGGACACTGTCAGTACAGACACACAGAGGATGCATTTATTTCTACAGTCTCGCCACCACTTCCCTTGATTGGTTTTCCCTTCTCACGTTGTGATCAACAATGGAAATGACCAGATTTTCCACAATGAAGTCAAAATCAAGCCCTCGCTGGAGGACAGAGCGGCATTTTTCGGGGGGGAAAGCAGCCGATCTTGAGTCACGGAGATCTGCCGATGGTTTGTTGTCCCGAGGCAGCCAGGACAAAGCCGTGTCATATTGCTGTTATTACAACCTCTGATCTTTTCCCATGTTGTTGTTTTCCCTCATCCTTCTCTTTCCATGCTGCGAGCAGACACAATCAATTATTGTCCCACGACCATCACAGCGCTGAACCCATCTGTGATGTAATCCCCCGGTAAGGGACAGCCGGCCTAACGAGTTCGTAATTTTATATTTCATCAAGGTTGCTGATGTATCTCACCATCATGATATGCATTGGCTTGTTGAACCAATGATCATCAGGCTTAGAGGGAGGATTGATTCCTTTTGCCACACACACACACACACACACACACAAGCGCGCGCGTGCAGTCTGTTGAATGATTGGATACGGAGGGTGGTTCAGATTATTGTTGTGCAGGAGTTTAGAGAATGCTTAATCCTGACTTTTATGTGAGAGAGAAAGAGTGGGACAAAGAAGGAGAGAGACAAATGAAGATGGAAGAAAGCCACAGAGAGACGGATGGCAGGAGAGAAAGACGAAGTGAAGCCCAGTAGCAGATTTGCATTATTTACAGAGCTTGTGTGTTCTCTATCTCCCTACAAACAGATTACTGACACAGGGCTGAAACCGATGAGACACATAATCATACATGAGGCGCCCCACCAGCGCCGCGCAGACCCGGCCAAATACAATATCGTCCCACAAAGGCTCGATTAAATGATGCTCCTTGGAAAATAGGTGGTGGTGGTATTACCTACGCAGGTCCCCCAACCCCCAACCTCTCTATCTTTCTGCATGTGCGGTGGGAGTTAGGGAGCGAAATTAATCTTGCTCCTCACCGCGGGGGGGATATCACTCGGCCAGGAGGAGGCCACGTCTCAAATTCAAATTGTTTGCGCAATAGGATGCTGCCGGCAAAGTAGGGCAACGGACGAACCGAAAGACAAAGCAAAGTAGTTGTTGTTGTTGACAAAAATGCCAGTGGGAAATCTCAACCTCGGGTAAGCAAGATACAACCTCAAAGCATTTTCACCTTCATCCCGGCTGGCTGGACTCTAATTGGAGCCGACCCAAGACACATCTGGCCACATGTGGCAACCAGTAAAATCCAGACACAATAAACACGTCTTTGCTGATTTGTTACTTTCTGCTCACCGACACCCGGAGTTGTCAAATCTCACTAAGCAACACCTTAAAAATCCATTG